CATTTTATCAGCGCCACTTACTATAAAGGTGCACTTTGTAGTTCTACAATTACAGACTGTAGTCCATCTGTTTCTCTGCATACTTTGTTTTTACCCTTTTACCCTGTTCTTCAGTGGTCAGGACCCCATGGACCCTCACAGAGCAGATACTATTTGGGTGGTGGATCATTCTCAGCACTGCAGTAACACTGACGTGGTGGTGGTGTGTTTGTTAGTGTGTGTTGTGCTGGTCTGAGTGGATCAGACACAGCAGTGCTGCTGGAGTTTTTAAACACCTCAGTGTCACTGCTGGACACTGAGTGTTCCTCACATTCAGATGCATTTCAAAATGGTACTCAGTCCTTCGCTCCATTCTCTGTCGCTCAGCTATGACTTTGCTATAGGACTTTGCCTGTTTGCCGTTCTCACTACTACTTTCCACAATAAGAAAAAACAACGAAAAATAACTCAAAATAAATAAAAGCAACTAAAACAAACTAAAGCTAAAACTGTGATGGTGATAAACATATATATATATATATATATATATATATATATATATACACACATATATATATATATATATATATATATATATATATATATATATATATATATATATATATATATATACATACATATATATATATATATATATATATACACATATATATATATATATATATATATATATATATACATATATATATATATATATATATATATATATATATATATTTTGAACTTAACACACTCATAAAAGTTGCATTTGAATGAGAGGGCTACAATCGCAGCTTCTATAGCAAGCAAGCAAGCAGCTGGACTTCAGCCTGACCGTTAAATCATTTGGTGCCTACTGGAAATATTTCAAAATGCAATAATGAACTTAAGATAATGGTTGATTATAGAAGAAATATTGCTATTTTTAAAGGTGATTTTGAGGACAAGTATTACGTACTTGTGCTGAAACACCAACAAATATTCGAAGCCTGTAAGATGCTGTTTGGGCCAGCCCTAGTTGTGGCTTAGTTTGTTAATACAGTGAGGCTGAAACTGTTAGTTGACTGATTATACAGCAGCAGTCCCATCCAAGCATTATATTGTATATCGCCAGGCAGAATGACTCAAAATAAATGTGGGACCTCTCCAACTGTAAATGTGTATGTGTGTGCGTGTATGGATTGTGTGAGAAGAGAACGTGCGCGTGGGTGTGCGTAAATGGCAGAGAGAGACAAGGCTGCTGATGAATGTGGAGTGGGTGTTCTCACTGCTAGCTACCAGAGCGGTAAAGAATGGAATGACATTGAATGCTTCACTTTAATCAAGCACTCGTGTTTATCGCTCACTCTAAGAATTTACTCTGTAAGAAACAGTCGTCTTCTCATGAGTCTCAGTCATGAATGGTATGATTCATGCTCTATCGGTTCCCAACATTTTGAGAGTATGAACAGCTATGAACCACCCACAAATATGTTTACAAAGTAAGAGTACCTAGTAGGCACTACAGTTCATTTGCACATTCAGGAAAAAATACACTAAATATATTAATTTCTTAGATCCCAGGAACATAATGTGCTACAACGGTTCGCTGTACGGCTGGGTATCGAAATTTAGTGCTATTACTGTACCAACTGAATTACTTCAGTACTATAGAGTACTGAAATATTCCATGTCATTCAGTACTTAAGTCAGTGTCAGTGAGCCAATAAGCATGCGCTTCCCAAAACCTAGACTGGTGACTGGCTGAACAGAATGTTCACATCAGTAGTCTGCTGAACAGGTACATATACAAATTCAAACAGCAGTGTCTCTGAACACCCCTCACTATACAGTCTTAAGTTTGTTGATGTGTTAACTTCATTTACACTTAGAAAAATCAACAAAACATTTAAATTATATATATTTAAAAGGGTGCTGCAAAATCTCTGTCTGGGCTCCAGCCGGTCCTGGCTCTGCTCTGGCACAGCTTTACCCCCACATTAATCATGTTTTGATCCTTTTCTTTATAGTTGTAGTAGTTTTCCTCTTTGCAAGTCTTACATGTGCAAACTTTCAGCCATTTTTCTAAGTTCTAGTTTTTAGTTTTCATACTTCTCAGTCCTGACCTTAGACTACTTGTTTCTAAAATCGTGATCGTGCATATTCATGGGATTACTCTGACAGCCTGTGCATTGACCCTTGTCACTTGCTCCGATTACTGGAAAAGCCCCAATGGAGGTGACTCACACATACATACATTCCGCCTCATATCTGCCTTTGTTCTAAAGGGTGGGTTACACAGAGATTTAACTGTACTGTGAAGTTATCGAAAGCAGTTTCTCAAAAGAGGTAGGGGAGTTTGGCCCTTTGCCAGCCTAATGCTTCTACTGTGATCTCCACAGTGACTTGCTTGTGAGAAAACCATTATGAAATACGAGTCCACTGCTAATCCATTTAATTGTAACACGCTGAAGAAGATAATGAGGGACAAATTTGCTTGCCCCATTTCCTCTACTGAGCAATTGGAGTGAGCACTTTCACACAACAAACATTTAACCGGCTTGACCCTGCCATGGTCCATCACTCTTTCTGGAAGGAGCTGCATTTCCAGATCAATCAACCTGTTTTGTTTTGTTTTTTTGTTTTTAAAAAGAAAGCTACTTTTGAAATCTGTGTAAGCAAAGGTCAACTGTATTTCAATGTGGAAGGAATTTTAAGCAATATAAATTACCTCCGCCCTCTGTCCGCCCTCCAGGCCAGGTCAGTCTTCCTCTGCCCTTGCTGCCCTCTTTTATTACCTCTGCTTTTGCTTAGAGTGCAGTCAGGCAGCATTACGGCAGGCTCTTATGACAGCTAAAGAAAGCCAGCTCAGCATCTGCACACCTCTGCTGCTTACTTTATGCTGGAATGACATTGAGCCTCCACGGGTCACTACACTGTTCATTCCTAATGCTGCTCTTGCAGACATTGTTTTTTGTTTTTTAAGGTATTCTTCCACCTAGTGTAACCTCTATCCTTCTTTGCTTCTCATGACAGCTTGCTGTAAACCTGTTTCCTCTCTGTAGGATGACAGCTTGAGTGCACAACAAGTAGCTAATGGCAAGCAACCATCAATGCGTGGGCATTTACTATGTAGCTGCAAGTGATACTACTTTTACCCATTATATAAATTGGCATCACTATGTCATTAGCTTCGTTATTAAACTCAGATCTATTCCCGGGGTGGCTGTAGTATTTATTTGGCAGTTGCTTACAAGAGATTAAGTCAATTAGTAGTGTAGTTTCCTGGCACACTACAGCTATAAGGCTCTCTGTGCTCTATAATATAGCAAATGGTTCTAGATTGTGTGCAACATAATGTCTTAACCGACTGTTTAATTGTATCTACTTGTATATTTACGTTAATGCCTCCCATGAGATTTATGCTTTATAACTCAACATGAACAACTTTTAACATTACTGGTAGTGGAGCAACTACACGAGAGAGAGGAGACAGAGAGGGAAAAAGAAAAGGAGAGAGAGAGATGGGGCAGAGAAAAAGAGAAAAGGGGAAAATAAAAAGGGCTATAAAGAACAGAGAGAGGAAGAGACAAAGAAAAGAAACAGACAGACAACAGGGGCTGACAGAGGGGGAAGAAGAAGAAGAGAAAAAAAGAAAAAGTTAAGAGAGGGAAAGAAGAGAAAAAGAGAAAACGGGTAAAAAAGAAAGGGGGAGAGAAAGAGAAAGGGGAAAAGGGAGAGAGAAAAGAGAGGGGAGGCAGAAGAAAAAAAATGAGAAAGAAAAAGGGAGAAAGAAAAGAGTGAGGGAGAGAATTACAGATAAAGAGAAAGAGGAAAAAGTGAAGGTAGAGATGGAGCAGAGAGAGAAGAGGGTTAGAAAAAGAGAGAGGACAGAGGTGGGGGACACAGAGGGAGGGAAAAAAGGGGAGAGGAAAGAAAGAAAGAAAGAAAGAAAGAAAGAAAGAAAGAAAGAAAGAAAGAAAGAAAGAAAGAAAGAAAGAAAGAGAGAGAGAGAGAGCTCTTACACATGGTCTCATTCTTCACAATGCTCCTGCCAAAGAAATTACTGGAAATCTGACAACACTGACACAAGAGACACTGGCATTATTGGCTCTATTTAACGACACTGTTGATATTCTTCTCTCAAGTCATGACTTCAACTGTGAAAGCGATTTGATCAGCACCCATGCTGGCAGTATCTCTGCACACCAATCGATCTCTGAGCCCAGTGTCATAACCTCACAATGAACAAGACGCTATGGCTATCACTCTTTTAACTGCCTCACTGTTAGACTGTCTCCTAACACAGATCCTCTCTGGGTTTCTCTGAGGTGTGGGCTGCTGCTTCATACTGACAAACGGTTTGCTGCACTTGCCCACCCACACTGGCAAAGTTACACAAGTCACCATGGAAACTTGAGCATTCTCATATCAAAGACAGAAACAGAAAGACATCAGAGAAACTTTCTCAGGAGGTGTAGGCAGATGATTGGGATTTTCATTGTCTGAACACTGAACTGTATTTGCATGGACGTGCTAACTCTGTTCGGAGCTATTTTTAACCTGTTAGATGCTGAGGTCAAGTATTGATGTATTGTCCTAGAGGAGCTCAGAATATCATGGGGTCGCATATTGATTGTGGCCTGGGAGGAATGCCTGGTGGAGCAATTCATAAGCATAAATCTGCTATAGTGACAAGATGCCAACTTACCCTGCAGCTGCCACTGGGTTTGAGCTGAACATTACATCAGAAACACTGATCCTGTATCCAGACATGAAATGCAGGCGCAAAGTAATCAAGTAGCCAGACGTTGGCTAACCCAGGCCATTTTCAGCAATTGCAACCTTGATCCCTTATACTGTCTGCAGTGTTAGAAGAGGCTGCATTTGTCTGTTCAGATCATAGCAAATAGTCTTTGACATCAATAAAGGACAAGTATATCATCAATTTGTTGCTTGCTGTCAATGCACAATGTCATACACGGTTGCTGTCAGACTAGCAATGGCTAACTACCAAAATTTTCCCTTCTGTGATTTTCCAGATAATGTCTACAGAGAATGCCTCGCCAATGGAACTTGGGCAAAGAAAGGGAACTACTCCCAGTGTCAGGAAATACTCAATGAAGAGGTATGAGGATGCACATTTTTACATGTCACACTTTTTATGATGCATTAGTGCAACAAAGAGCAGAGTGGCTCTGTGGGATACTGGATTGTACTGACCCCTAGAAGTCACTGTTAACACCAGCAAAAACAAAGACATGATACCGTTTCTAACTCGCAGTTCGCTGAACCAAGCAGAAAAATTCCACTTAAAGCAATAGTTGGACAAAATCTACACCATTTTTTTTTTTTACATTACCTTAGATGTCCATCATCGAATACAAGTTTGGTGTCCAAATTATGCATCTTTTGTTTAATGTTATGAAGCGTTAAGCAAAGCTATGAAGGTAATGTTGCTACCAAACACTAGAAGTCAATAATCACCCAAATCTTTTCTGCAAATATATCCTCAATATTTCTCTTAACCCAATTGAAAAGCATCCAGGTGTTCATTAAGGTCATGCAGACTTGTCCATGTGGTTTTGGACACAGTATGACTTGAAATTCACAGTACAGCTGAACGCAGCAGGTATTCCCCGCAGAATCCGACTCCTCTTCACGTGTATACACGTCACACAGACATATGGACACCTCAGATTATGTATGCCATTTCTGTTGTTCCTATTTATAAATAATTTCTTATTGTAAATTTTCAAACTGAACACTTTTACATTTGTGATTTCTTGTTTCTGTTTGTAAACATGACCATATGCCTGTGTGACATGTGCATGCAAAGGAGAGTCAAATTCATGGAGAAGGCAGAATTTGACAACACCTGCTTTCTAAAATGGTTACCTGCAGCACTCAGCTAATCAGACACTTTTGTTCATTTTTATAGGTCACAATAAGTCACACTGTGCCCTAAACCACATCAATAAGTCTGTAAACATTTAACAAAGACCTGGATGTGGTTTCAGTGGGTTAACAGTAGTTTTGGGGATGTATCTACAGAAAAGATTTGGGTGACTACTGAGTGTTCTAGAGCTTGTTAGCAACGCTAGCCTCATAGCCTGTGTGCTCAACTACAGAAGCAAAATTTGGACACATGGCTGATCGAAAAGATGAGCCAAAGATTACTTTGAAGCTCAGATTCTAAACTGTCAGTTCAGACAAAAGAGAACAGATTTTATTACCTTTTAAATTAGATCAAACAGTTTTGCATTGCAAAGGGAAAAAAAATAAAAAATCTGACAGTTTAGCTATAATTTGTCTTTATGTGACATATTAGTCTGAAGAAAAGTCTGAAGTTTAGAACATGTTAAAACAGAATATAAATATAATGCAAATGCAACAAAACATGTAAGCAATTATATAACTTTCATTTAAACATTGTAGCAAAACAACAGTACTAACACTCGACTTCTAAGGGTTAATACAATTGCTTATGGTATAGGTCCATTAACTGGAGCGGAAAACTCCCTTCTATAGAATGCAGTAAGAACACACTGCCCTGACACAGATGGCCGAGGGTTCAAGAAGAAATGTGATTTATGTAATGGATGCACTAATACGTGTCCGTAATACGAAACACTTCACTGTTAACATAAAAGCTGCCATTTCCACTTTTTCTAACACATTTTTCCTGAAAACAGTGGACCTCTGACAGAGCGTTGTTTAGAAACAGGCCATTCCCCCACCCCCACAAAAACACATAAAAAAGATAAGTAAAATAAAAAATGAGATACATGTTTTGTTTTAGGACAGTGACTATATGCAGGTATGAATACATGAAGGAATAATATGAAAACATTCACAATTCTTTGCACATTACATCAAAATACTTTGTGAACCAAGATTAGGTTTTGCTTGTAAACTACATGAAACCAGACTTGCTTGGATAATAATGTATTAATCTGAACTTTCATCCTATCAGTTAAACTACATTAGACTTTTTGGGCTAACCGTACTTTCATCACTCCATTACAGTACTTTAGGGAGGCAAATAGACTGGCCAGGCCTAGACACGTCACAAATACAGTTTGACTGCACATCTGCAAGATTTATCAGCTGTCATCTATTGTAACAGGAGTGGCAGGAAGAGCAGATAAATAATGTATAGGCTCTTTATCTGCTTTCAATGTGAGCGTTTAACCAGGCATGCCGGGAGGCTGTCCACGGGGAGGCTCTCCAAGTGAGAAACTGTTCACAGTCAATGGAATTAGGCTGCTAGAAACGAAGCCATTTCCGTATGGTACAATAACGCATGGGCTGACAGTCACTCAGCAGGAGGGTGCACTACACCTGCCACTGACTCGCTGCAATATGACATTATCCTGTGATATTATCATATAAACTGTTCAGGCTTTTGTCTTCTCATTTTTAAGACAGTTGGTGGTTTGCAATTTCTTTTTTTTTTCGCTTCTCACATTGTGGATCAAGAAAATCAGGCTACAATTCAGAGAATACACATGACGGGGAGCTCCTGCTTCAAACGAGGTTTACAGCAGCAGAGGAAGAGATTGTAGCTTTTGAAGCAGTGAATTTAAGGCTGTGCCTAAATATGCCTCCAGTTGTCACGGATGATGTAGCACACAAGAGAGTCTAACAGCAGGTTACATAATATTGCTTTACCACCACTGCAGGCCACGGAGCCTGATTCCCCAATGCTGCCACACGGCAAGATATGCTTACTTTGGTGTGCAGCCACCAGCTGGGCCACAGTCATTATCACAAACATTCGTAATCTCTTGCAACCCATCAGTTCTGAACAATTACAGATCAGTGTCTATTTACATCTAAGCCTGTTTTTGTCATAGATACACATATTAGAGACCTAAAAGGTAGTTTGTGAAGAAACTTTAATAAAATCTAAGAATTTTCAGCTTTGTTAGATCACATTCTTTACATATCAAATAAACAGCTTTGAGAAATCAGAAATCACATTATTAACAGAGAAAGGTGGATTTAACAGCAAAAATAGCTACTCAACATAAAAGGGTTAACAACTTCTTTTGTCTGGTCCATTTTGACAGGTGTGTATACTCAAAGGTGGCCAGCCGCCTAAGGCCCCGATGAGCCAAGGAGCCCTTGAAGATACACATTAGATAAACTATGTGCTGATGTTAAATTTCACTACAGGCTTCAGGCGATCTGCTCAAAATTTGAACTATAGAGCACGGCCACATGGCTGGTGGCGACTGTGCAATCCTGACTGAGCCACGGACAGCTCAAGCAAACGCGCGCTGATCACCCCTTACTAGGAGGCTTAGCTCAGGGGTCGCAACTGAAAATGTTAAGAAGAGCCATGAAACCACCTTGGGAGCCAAATATTTATGTATGTTTTACCATCTTGGCTGTAAATATGTCTCAGTATGTGCTGATGTCTTAGTACAGGCTAAAAATATAAACGAAAACTCAGACTTCGCTCTGCTTTAACCTTCAGCTCAGCTGTTTCTTGTAAAATGTCTCTCAATGTTCGACTTATGAGGCTGAAGTCGCTTCTCATTCTCCAGCTTCTCATTCGAACTGTCCCGTTCCACCTTAAATGGTGCCTGAGGCGCCAGACTGTACTGCTGCGCAATTTAAGGTGGAACGAGAAAATTCGAACGAGAAGCAGGAGAATGAGAAGAGACTTCAGCTTCGCGACTTGTTGCAGACTAAACGTATGAGGAAACCAGCTGAGTGCTTATAAATGCAAATAAGTCCATTCGTCTCCAAATTATCAATGTTTATCTTAAACCTCTCTTTGCCATTTCGTTAACTGCATTGCTGTGTGACCAGCAGTCTGCGCGTCAGTCTTTAGTGTTATGCGTTAACTCCAGTGTTTAAGACCATTTACTGTGAGAACTGTGTTAGAACTATGTGTTATGATTTTACAGCAAAGGAGGATTGTTATTTTACCTAAAAATCTAGTTCTGCTGTGGAGCCGCAACAGCTCTGCAGCAGTGGAGAGATTATTCAGGCCTAATTCTCACCCCAGACAGAGCCAGGGTCACTGATGAGAATCGAGGCTAAAATGTTGCTGAAGTTTAACGAAGGACTCTGAATGTCGTGTCTGTTCATATCTTGCTCAAATGTATAAATTGGAGCAGTTTTATTTCAACAGTTGACAATGCTTTGCACAAAGTTGTTTGGTTTGTATTTGGTTATTTTTGTTAGGAAAAGCCTGGAATGATGGACTTTACCTTTAGTCAATTTTTTTGTTGGACATCACACCTTTGGTTGTGTAAGTTTGATTGTTGGTTACACTTGAACTTACTTTTTGGTGATTTTTTTTATATAATTGCAGCTTTTCAATTGTATGTTTCTTTCTGGCACATGATTAAATGCAGTGTTTTGTTCCCACTGTCACATGGGCTTGTTTGGTGTGTCAGGTGGAGATACACAAACATTCTGACAATCGCGCTTTGAAAGTAGCTAAAAAGAAGTGCACTACTTTTCATTACTACTTTTTATAATGGCTTATTCTATGTTGTGTGATAACTGTGTGAAGACAGACTGGTATAAGGCTATTAGACTACAATCTACAGTATGGATAGAGGTCTATTATGTGGTTTTCTTTGAGTTGATAGGGAAATTCTAATCAAGATATAGAAGTGGAGCAAAGAAACAAAAGAAGAAGGAGGAAAGCAAAAAGTATGTTGCTACACTCCCAAAGCTAACTCTGGAACAGAGCGCTGCACAGGCTCAGCAGACCATACGCAATGCTAGCATTACTGTTAGTACAGATAGCTCCAGTGTTGGGTAATCACTCAAAAAAGTAACCCATTCAAGTTACTAATTACTTTCCTCAAAATGTAATAGGATAACGATCCTGGAAACAGTAATCTCACTGCTCATTACTTCTATCCTACTCTACCAAATTATCTCACTGTACTGTTTCGAGCAATTTTCTTCAAACAGGCAAAATGATCTGCCAAACAGTGAGAGAATGTCACTTTATAAACTTACTTCAGTAAAACATGTTTAGAACCAAGTTAAATGGTATTATATTATTCTTCTGTTATTAGATGTAATGATTAGATTTAACATGAGTTCACATGCCAAGATATCACTTTTTGCTGTATGAACAGTTGCATCACTAAG